CACAATTTCAGCACCCCATTAAAGCTTTACAATGCGATAATGGACGTGAATTCAAAAATACAGATTTTCAAACATATTTTGCCAAACACGGTATCTTACACCGTTTCTCATGTCCCCACTCTTCCCCTCAAAACGGACATGCCGAACGCATGATCCGCACCATCACAAACATGATCCGCTCACTTCTCTTTCAAGCTTCCCTTCCCCCCACCTATTGGGTCGAAGCCCTTCATATGGCTACACACCTCATCAACATCCTTCCTACCAAATCCACTCCCAGCAGAATCACAGCCTCCCACTCCCGCTTCCTCACCCCCACCCAACCATCCTATGTTGACACGCAGCAAGGCCGGTATTCACAAGCCCAAAATCCCCTTTTCTCTTACCGTGTCTACCGCATCCCAAACTCCCACTACATATCGCCATGCCCTCCTTGATCCAAACTGGCGTATGGCCATGCTTGAGGAATATACTGCTTTGATTAAAAATAACACATGGGATATTGTGCCCCGCCCCCCCTCTACTAATGTTATCAGTGGCAAGTGGTTATATAAGCAGAAATTGAAGGCTGATGGTTCATTGGAACGGTATAGAGCAACCTCCCGGATTCGTCGATCCATCTCGCCCCACTCACGTGTGTCGTCTCAACAAAGCACTCTACGGCCTCAAGCAGGCACCACGTGCTTGGTACAAGCGTTTTGCATCTCACATTACTAGCATGGGGTTCAGAGAATGCAAGTCCGACACTTCACTCTTCGTGTACTGCCGCAACAGTTCCCGCGACTGTCGCAACAGTTCACGCGACTGTCGCAACAGTTCATGCGCCTACCTTCTGTTGTATGTCGATGACATTGTACTCACGGCCTCCACACCTGAATTGCTACGTTCTATCATCGCTGCCCTTACTCAAGAGTTCGCAATGAAGGATCTTGGCGATCTTCACTACTTTCTCGGCATCTCAGTCACTCGCTCGTCGAATGGGCTGTTTCTCTCTCAACGCAAGTACGCTGACGAGATACTAGAGCGTGCACACATGGCCTCCTGCAACCCTTGTCTTACGCCGGCTGACACCAAGAGCAAGTTGTCCTCGACCACTGGACCCCCCGTTGCTGACCCCACTCTTTATCGCAGCCTTGCCGGTGCACTGCAATACCTCACGTTTACTCGTCCTGACATCTGCTATGCTGTGCAACAAATATGCCTATTCATGCATGATCCGAGGGAACCTCATATGGCTGCTCTCAAGCGTATCCTTCGCTACATCCGTGGGACCCTCGATCACGGCCTTCAGCTCTCCCCCAATCCGGACCTCTCCCTTATCGCCTACTCCGACGCCGATTGGGGTGGCTGCCCTGACACTCGTCGTTCGACATCGGGCTATTGTGTTTTCCTCGGCAACAACCTCATCTCTTGGTCCTCCAAACGACAGGTCACTACTTCTCGATCGAGTGCGGAGGCCGAATACCGAGCTGTCGCAAATGCCGTTGCCGAAACGACTTGGTTACGCAACCTACTTTCCGAGTTGCTCTGCCCACTTCTGAAAGCCACCATTGTCTACTGTGACAACGTTAGTGCCGTCTACCTATCCAGCAATCCCATTCAACACTCTCGTACGAAACATGTGGAGATCGATATACACTTTGTCCGAGACAAAGTTGCTTTGGGACACGTTCGAGTTCTTCACGTCCCATCCGCCTACCAGTTTGCTGATATCTTCACGAAAGGTCTCCCCACTCAACTGTTCCAACAGTTTGTTTCCAGTCTCCACGTTCTCTCCTTTCCCGTTTCGACTGCGGGGGTGTATTAGCGTATATTATTATTATTATTATTATTATTATTATTATTATTTATTATAGTTACCTTATACATTAGGTTACCTTGTATATTGGATTACCTTGTGTAGTAGGTTAGGGTTTCCTACATGTAACTATATATATTCTCAATATACGTAAGAGATATTATTCTCTCTTCTCTCCAAATATTCTCCTTCTATCAGTTATGACTGTGAATCACAGTGATAACAAGAGTGTGATAACAAGAGTGTTTAGAAAGGGTCTTATCTTTTTATTTTTATTTTTTTAAATTGTTGATCCATGTTTTTTATACCGAACCTAACTTCTCGAATATGAGGTCGCACATCAGAACTAGACGTAGAAGTTGTTGTCGCTGAAATTATAACTTGAATTCTATCCACGATACATCTAAAGCCAAGCTGGAAAGTATTCCACTATGCTCAACAAAACAACTTCTGGCTGATAATCTGCCCCTTGCACGCACTAAATTCAGAGACTCTAACAAGGAACTCGATCTCGTTCAATGGAATAAATTCAGAGACTCTAATGAGGGGCTCGATCTCGTTCAATGAGTGTGTAACAGCTGACGGAACCACTAGCCCCTCATTATCGAAAACAGGCAAAAGCCCCTCGTTATATTCAAGTGGGGCCAAAGCAGCAGAAAGATCATATTCTCATTATTTTCGAGAGGGGCCAGAGCAGCAGAAAGACCCTCACTATGCATACTACCAATAACTTTTTATGTGTCGCTTCCTATCTCTTGTTATTTAATTAATTGGGACATTTTTGAAGTTCTTATGCATGAAGAAGTACTTACAAATTATTATTAAATGGCGAAAAACACTAACAACTACGTTCATAAAAGATTTAACTTATAATTATGTTGATTATCGACAAAGATGTATCTTATATTTATAATACTTTGCTCCTCAATAAATATTGGACAATAAGAAATGATTTGATGAAGTCGTGAATAAAGTTTTTCTACAACCGTCTCGGAACTTCCCTAACATTTATCAAATTTTCTACATATTTATGGACATGTTAAAAGTATTACTTTAAACTAAAATTTTAACTTCGTAAATAAATAAGAAATAATCGTACAAATAAGTTTTTATTGATCTATACTATATATATATATATATACAAAAGTGCGAAAGATGTGGAGGTTTCTTCTATTTTTGTATGGACAAAAATATCCTTTGAGTAGGGAAAATTTGAAGGACAATTAAGTAATGTTCATTAATAATAATACCAATTAATTAGTACTCATAGATATTATTTTAAATAGGTACTACTTAAATAAAATAACTAATACACCAATAAGGCTTTTAACGTTTTCTACGGTTTTCACATTTTCTTCATCTTTTTCTTCGTTTGTTATTCTTTTCCATGGTAAATAAATGACCGTTCATGTACGAGGCAACCATTTCATAATTTTGACGGACACATAAAAATCAAATTAAGTAATATTTATTCATAATTATTAATTAGTACTCCTACGTTCTTGTATGAAATGAACAACAACTGGTTGTCTAAATCTTGCTTTTTGCTTTCAGTAGAGGATCGAGTTCTTTGTTGACTCCGATTGTGTTACTGGGCAAGGCGCACCGTTGGATCAAGAGAAGCAAATCTTCACGGAAATTTGCCGAATTTTCTTCTAGATTCATTGAGGGTTGATGTATGATAAGAGAAGTTGATATAAACTTAAAAAATGCATTATGAAGGAATAGTTAACAAGAGATATAAATTAGAGCTTTGAGGCAATATATATAAGCTCCATATATTGTTGTAGAAGCAAGTTTTAGGTCCCCTTATTGTAATCCTTATTTATGTATAATTGAAGAGTTAATTGCAAATACCACCCCTGTGAAATCTCTAATTGTCAAATACCCCCCTGTAAAAAAAAAATTTGCTCATACCCCCCTGTGTAAACAAAGTCAAGGCATTGAGACCCTTGAGAGCAAATCGTGTCTCTCACGCGCTACTGTTGCGGTTTTTTCTCAATTTTCGACTGTGAAATATCAAAAATGTCCCCAGCTCATTTTCCTTCCCTCTTCTTCATTCTTCATCGTCCCCATTCTTCATCGTCCCCTGCTGCCCACCGCTTCACCTCCGCCGCGAAATGGGGCGCCCCCAATTGGGAGAAGCGAGTGCAAACCTCGGCCCATCCCCACTCCAATTCTCCCTCATACTTCAACAACAACATCGCCGGACCCGCCACCATTTTTAGACCTGCAAAAACGCAATACACAACCCATCTACAGACCCTTTATCAGAAATCAACAAAATCGATCAAGCCGCGAGCTTCTATGCCGCCACCAAAAAAATCGGAGCTTGAAGAAGCCCAAACAATTGATGGAACGCTGGGCAAGATCAATAAATAAGAAGCTTCGGCTTGGGGTAAAATGAAAAGGTGTTATTGTTGTTCTTCTCGACCAAGGAATAGCGGGACAGGAAAGAACATGTGGGAAATATGGATGGGTGTGGTGGTTCGTGGTGAGCGGCGACGGTGAATGATAAGTATGGTGAAAATTGAGAGGAAGAGTGGGGATTTGGAGCTGTGGCTGGGCAAAATTGCAGAAAAATGAATGGGTTTTGGAAAATTGCAATTTAGTCCCTCAAATTAAATTTTAAAAGTTTAACAAAATTCCAATTTAGCCTCTTAAATTAATATAATTTTATGTTATACTACTTAGGGGTATACTTGTCTTTTTACCTTCAGTCAACCATTAAAATGATAATGGGTGCGGTGAGCTTCGAAAAGTATTACACAAGGGGGTATTTGCGAATTTTTTTTTGACAGGGGGTTATTTGACAATTAGAGATTTCACAGGGGTGGTATTTGCAATTAACCCATAATTGAATGTTGTTGAGTTGTACGTGGGTAGATGTTAATAGAAAAGATGTGATGTGAATACATTTAGGTTATGAAATTTTACAAGAATACTATTTTTATTATGTTACATAATATGCGAATGTGGATAGCCTAAAAATGTTCACAAAAATATATTTTTAGAGTATCCGCCACGCTGCCATCGAACAAGGCCCCAAATGGAATAAACGCATGTTTGATATCTGAAGTTAAAATATCCGAAAAGTTGTAAAATTCTTAACTCTCATTAGATTGATCACTCTGCATCCCACATGTATAATCTGAAGCTTTCGAATTGTTTTCCAACACAACTTTTGTATTTTTCTGCTACTACTTATTAGAGATTGTTCACCATCAAACTCTCAAACGGAAGAAACAACCATGCAAATCTCATCTCCCCGAATCTCTCACGCAACAACCTAATCTTATCACTCCTTTTATTTAGCTTATAGATAAACATCTCTACTTGTATATATATGTGACTATAAGCTGTAATTAGGGTGAATTAATGAAATATATTTTCCAGTTACATACTTTACATGGTATCTAGAGCCTTTCTCAAACGAGATCTCTGATCCTGCAATTTTTTTTTTTTCCCAAATCTGCCGATGACTTCTTCATCTAGCACCACCATGTCTTCCTTAGTTACAATAAATGCTGCTGCCCAATTACCTCTAAAGCTCACCTCCACCAACTATTTTTCATGGAAAGCACAATTTCATGCTCTTCTTTATGGTCTGGACCTTCTTGGCTATTTAGACGGTTCCAAACCATGTCCGACGGCTACCACATCTGCAGATGGTTCCTCCAATCCGGAACACATCCTTTGGCGCCGCCAAGATCAATTACTTCTTCATGCTATTTTCGCCTCTCTCAGTGAGGCTGTCATCCCTCTTGTCTCGTCTGCCACCACAAGTAAAGACGCTTGGAATCGACTACATCGTCTCTATGCCAAGCGATCTACATCCCACATCATTCACCTCAAAGACAAACTCTCATCTATCACCCGTGGGACTTCTTCTGTTACAGAATTTCTTGTCTCCATCAAGCAAATTGCCGATGAACTAACAGCTCTTGGTGATCCCCCGAGCGATGCCGACTTGTTGATCTACACAACCCGTGGCCTTGGAATAGCTTACAAAGAATTGATCACGGCTTTACGGACTCGGGATTCTGTGGTTCCTTTTGAGGAACTCTTTGATAAAATCATTGATCATGAATCCTTCCTGCTGCACAATGAGAAACAGTACTCTGATGTCACACCACCCACTGCTCATATTGCTACACACCCATCTCGCTTTCGCCAAACAAAACGCTCGTCTATCACACCTAGCCATGGTGTCCTACCTACCCCTCACCAGCCCAAAAATTTCCCCACTCGATCTATTCAGACACTCTGTCAATATTGTGACAAACGGGGCCATGATGCAAAACGCTGTTTCAAGCTATTTCCTCATCTGCGACACAATCACCCTTCGGCAAATCACACCACTGTAGCTTCACCACAAAATAATCAATGGATTTTGGACTCGGGTGCTTCTCATCATGTCACTTCTCAATTATCTAATCTTTCAGTTCATCAACCTTATGGGGGACCCGATGATGTACACATCGGTGACGGTTCAGGTTTATCTATCACTCACACGGGTTCTACACTTATTTCTCCCTTGTTTACTTTATCCAATATTTTATGTGTGCCTTCTATTAAACAAAATTTAATCTCCGTAGCTAAATTTTGTCGTGCAAATCGTGCATCCATTGAATTCTTTTCTTCTCACTTTGTTGTCAAGGATTTACGTACGGGGACACCTCTGCTCCACGGACGGAATCGACATGATCTCTATGAGTGGCCAAACTTCAAGGATGTAACTACTCACCCGCCCAAGGCTTTCTCTACTGGTGTTTCTTCCTTGGCTTCTCCGGCAATCTGGAAATATATTTTCCAGTTACATACTTTACACTACTAATGCGCGATTGTTTGGGTGAGATTACTATACACTTTTATGAGATATTTTTCAGTTTTAGTATTTTGCCAAATAGCCTCAAGAAATTGTATACTTTTATAAATATATTATATAAAACTAAGTATTTCTATATTAAGTAAAATTAAATTCTATTTATGGAAAAAAATTATCTAGGCAACATTATTTATGAACATAACTAAGATTTTGATTTGAAAAACATAAAAAAGTAATGCAAAAGCAATAAATACATTGGAAAATTAATAAGACACGTGTAACGCACGTGCACCTGTCTAGTTCAAATAAAATGTGAGTTACAATCTCCATTTGTAAAACTATCTGATTCTTCTTCTTATGTGCCGTAATATTGTAACATTTGAGGTGTAATTGCCTTTTGATCTGCTCCGAATGTGAAATTGTAATTCAATAATGTTAATTGAAGGATTTTTTTTAACTTGATTTCGAATCGAACATTAAGACTTGACAAACGATGAGTAAGTTAAGAAATTTGTACTTTGATCTTCTTCGATTTTAATTTTCTAATTCGATTACATTTCTTCAAGGGTTTGGGTTTGAGCTCGAATCAAAAGTTAAGACTTGAAGAACGTGTGAAGAAATCATTATTATGGAATTGATGTTTTGATCTCCTCCAATGTGTAGTTCCGAATTTGTTTTTTTTAAGCCCAATCCACAGTTGACTGCTCATTCTAAGAATTATTGATTGCAAAATTAAGATTTATTTGTCATGTATCATAAACTAAATCACATTTATCACAATACAGATTACTACTATTCAAATGTGAAAAATATATTTACCATAATAATTAATTTAATACAGATTCCCATAGAATTCGAAGTTCCGATAATGGACTCAAGATACATGTACTGGCAGAACGGAACACTCCGCCGGCTAGCACGGTGAGGCGAATCGTCACCGCCGCAGGGCGTCGAGTTAAAATTTCTTTGAGCGTCGCTTCTACTTTTGGATTTTAATAATATTAATTCAAGTGTTTAACACCGTAACCACGAATTAAACGTTTCGTAGCTTGAAGAACTTTTGTAGAGATAATTTCTCCAGTGATTTCGTGCGTGGAATTCTTGAACTTTTGTATGTCTTAAATCTCTCCACAAATAATTCTTATTTATACTTGTAAGTTGAAATTGTTGTTATAATTATTTGATTACTGAAATGTTAAATGTCGTCTCAATTTTACTAATGTCGTTTTGACTTCGAACTTGATTTTGACATATTTCTATTTTGATTTTGGCAAAATTCGAAACACGAAAAACTGTAGTCATTTGGGTTAACTTTCTAATCCAACTTAAATCCGCTAGATTGAATGACGTGGGACAAAGTTATGCATGAATGAGTCACATTTTGAATTTTAGATACCTCAATACATCAAAGTTGTGGGCAGTGTCCATTGATTCATGCATATATTTCTCGTCCGACATCCAATTTTGGTGATTCAAGTTGGATTAGAAAACTAACTCAGAATACTACAAATTCTATTTTTCGGGTTTTGCAAATTTTGGAATTAAAAATGATCAAAATCACGTTTGAAGTCGTAACGGTATTATTAAAGCTCGAACGACATTTATCACATCTCATTTAATTATAATGCGCAATTTGATTGGTCCCTCATATCTAATTGACATTTAATTATAAGATCTTACACTTTTCAACATTTTGTTTAGAAAAACACTTGTCAATATTTGATTGGTCAATGACTACCGAATTTACTTAAAACTATTTATAATCGGAATCAAATTATTTATAAAAACTCCACGATCCATCCGGCTTGCAACCCTAGCTATATAAGTGAAAATGTAGAAAACATAACACTAAACTCAACCTTGTATCTAAATTAAAGTTTAAAGTGGTAAAGGTTACTCTCAACATACATGCAACAAATTTCTAATAATACTCCATACAATTTTCCACTTGGTCATCTTAGATTATGACGAAATTAAAGGAGTTTCGCAGCATTGGTTGTAAATGTTGCCAGACAAGAGCTCTCATCCTATGTCGTGTGATCTTCGGGGCCTCGGCCCGAATTTCGATCGACAGCTCTTCAAGTTCCACAGCATTTGTAATGACATGGGACACAACTACCAAATCGAAAGAACATCCGATAAATCCCGTCAATTTCACCTTCTTAAGATTGTTATTTGGATTGTTACATGGAGTATTATTCAACTCAATGTTGTGCTCGCCAAGCATTTTATTTTCAAACCACCCCGAAACCCACAAATGAAACTGCAAAAAAAAAAAAAAAAAAAAAAAAAACAAACAAACAAAAATATTCACTAGTTTATTTATTTTAAATTTATATTATATATAATGTGAAGAACAAAGAAAAATTATAGTATTTATTAAATTTAGTACCTTTATCTCAAGTTTCTGTAAAGATGGACATGCATCGATCATACGAACGAGTTGATCTCTGCTAGAAGGACTACGCATATGAGCTTCCAGCTCCATATGTTTGAGAAATGGCAGCGATACGTCGGTATCGTGTTTCTGGAAAATAACACGAAAACAAAATCAAGTAATCGAGAATCATATATATATTATGATACACACATTCTAGAGAGGGAGAGAGAGAGAGAGAGAGAGAGAGAGAGAGAGAGAGAGAGAGAGAGAGAGAGAGAGAGAGGTAATGCACAACGCTTACCATTAAATGAGATGGATCAGCTGTTAACCTTGACTAATCGCTCACAAATAATTCCCTTTGAAATGATTTGGTCAATAGGATAGCCACGATTGTAACAACTATTGTCACAACTGCTAAACTCGATAAGCATTGGTACATTATCGAGCACAAGGTCACGTGAAAGTTGCAATTTGTGAAACCTCAACGAAACTAGGCTGATCACTTCTCTAATCTCGATGGACCTGATATTCGCGCACGAAGATATGTTCAAGTACTTCAAATTCGGCGCCCAATCGCCATCGACGAGCACTTCTCTCAATGCGTAGCTATTTTTTATCGAGAGACGTTCTAGAAGGATAAAGTTTTTAAGCAGTGACTCGAGATCCTGGTCGTCGAAACCAATTGCCTGCAGAGATAGTTCCTTAAGGGACTGAAACCCCGGGCGCAGGGTAACGCCGCTCTCGGTGAGAAAACTCGAAATTGGGAAAACGAGGGAAGAGTACTCTTCGTGCAAGTGCATGTCGATGGCGTGGACTTGTTTCGACAACGCAAACTCGAGCCACCTTTTGATGATGTGGGGCAATTCTGATATGCCGCCACTAAAATACGGGAAATCGTGGATTCGGAATTCCTCCAAAAAATGGCCTCCCTTGTGGGAATCCAATACGCGATCGACCATGTTCGCGTAGTTTGAGAATCTCGTTTCGCGGTTGTATGTTTGCTTTTTGGAGGGAGAAAAATCGAGACGGGTGGTGTAGGTACTGAGGTGGCGCCATCATGTGGATAAGATGCTCGTCGATACGGCATCGGCCAACGGGAGCCGTGAGATTATCGACACAAGAATGTCATCGGGCAATTGGCTGATCATGTCAACACCATTGTCGCATGTTGTTGCTGCTATAATTTCTACCTGCAACAAATTATATATATATATTATAAATTTGTTATTAATTATATATACATATATATATTTTTTTGATAATATAATTAGAGGATTTAATTTAATCATACCTTGTGTAGAAATTTATGTTGATTCTTGTTTCTCTTTGATGAAACTTTCTTCCTCCTGTTGTATGCCATCTTGATTTCTCTAACTAGCAAAATACTTTTGATGATTAAAGCAACATGATATAGAGAGAGAGTAGCTGATAGAGAGAGTAGGTAGAGAGAGAGAGTAATTAGTGAAGGAGACTTCTTAATAAAATGGGGACTTTGTAACAACTAACAAAAGACAAGGAAAGAGAATCGTGTATGGTAGAACTAGGATTTTTCTCACTAATTAATAAGATACGTTTCCAAAGAAAAATAGGTTTCCCTCCCAAAAAAGAAAAACGGAAAATTTAAGGTTGTGAAATGTGAAGTGAGAATACTTTTTTTTTGGTTTAATTAGGCATACCCCTCGTTATAAAAAAAAAAAGGTAAATTACACCCACACCCTTAAGGTAACTTTAAGGTCCATGTGGTATCGATAATTACACTCACTCATTGAAACGTAGTTATGAACTCTAATGAGATAATGCATTGGATACGTTATTACAATAAAATTCTACCGGACTAATGGTTTCAGGAAGTGATTCTGTGATTTTGTGATAAATTCTCTAAACCACTGTGATTCTGTGATAAATTCTTCCAAAAAGATCCGCAATCAAATGGTGAAATCGAACATAGGTCGTTTCCTATGAAAATAGTTTCTTACAACATATATATATCAATTTATATATGTTATTTGATAGATACAACATAATTCCCATAATTTGTTTCACACACATGTGAGTCGTCCAAGATAACATCCAAAAGAAGGATCTCGATGCGAGGAATCCAACGGTGTTTGAATCGTCGAATTCCAATCACCACATCTACAGTTACGCCTTCAAGAAGCAAAATTGCACACAAAACTTCAACGTCAATTGTGAAAATTTGGTAGTCAACTATATTGTCCCCAGAGTCAACTATGGAAATTGGATAGTTAACTACATATTTTCGATATATAAATTTCCGATGTCTAACTATAATAAAATAGTAGTCAACTATAATTTTTCATCACTTAACTCTATTTTTTTCAGTTTAAGATTGAGATTATAGTATTTCTAAGTTAAATCTCCACAACATAAGCTTCATCTCAGACAATAAAATAAAAATGGTATCCATACAGTAGTACGAAAGACTGATTCTATTGTCAGGAAAAAGAAGATTAATAAAAAAGAGAAACAGATGTGCAAAAAGTGTAACACCCCGCGTCTCCGATAATTTAATTTTTCATTAATTAGTATCTATTTAGTTTACGTGATTTTATCTCTTATG